ACCTACGGTAGATCTGAAAAGCTGATAAAAAAGATAGAAGTTATCCCTAGATTCAGTGCAAAAGAAAGCTCATGGATTGAATTTATTTCAGAATAGTAGTCAATTTACCAAAATTCAAGCCTTGACACACATGGTGTGTCAAGCGGTCCCACGCGGTAGTCATTGCTTGACACACCATGTGTGTCAAGCAGTCGCTAATGTGTTAAATACATAGAATAGGACACAAAACCTGATGAAAAGCTTATTCGTCATTCACAGCCATATTTAATAACTGCTGATGAGTAGCGTAGCGAGAGAATTTCCATGCGAAGTACTGCGCAAACCGACTCAAAAGGACCAAAAGCTCATGAAGAGCTTTTCCTCAAACATACGAAAAGCGATATTGCGACAATGCAGAAATCTTGACCGTGGAGGGCAAAGCTTTACAGAATTGCCAAAAAGACCCATCTTGGAAAAAAGATTGTGATGAGGTCCTACCAGAATCTATTTTTTGTTGCTTTATTAGGTTGTAAAGAAAGTTCCCGGGCACTTTTGGAAATTTCATTTTGTAACGCATGCTTTCGGCGCTCGGTCGAACTTTGACACCAAGTTATACTATTCAGTAGAGGAAAGCCTGAAGTTTTCAAAAAGCCTTCTGACTTTTATCGATGCCAAGACGTGTTTGACTTGCACGTCAAGAAGAGAAATCTTTCCAACCACAAAAATTTCACAATTTTTCTTTAAGCGGCCATTTTTTTGTGCAAATCAAAGAATTTCGTCCAAATCATGGGTGGTACGATTAAGAAGTCTGTTAACTTCCGACCCGCCGGTGTACTCGAATTTTGCGATTTGCGCTCAGAAATTACAGGCTGTCGAACTTGCCTCTGACTGCAACTCTTTTCGCAGCTGGCATCGCTTCTGCGGGAATCGTCACGCTTGGATGATGGGTCCAAAAGATGTGCAGAGCATTAACCCAACAATGTTCCCAGTAATCAAAAATTTGGTTTTTTTTGTGCAGAACTAGAGACTTCAAAGTCACTTACTCGAAAAATGGTGCATTTTTAGGGGCAAAAAATGGTTGATTTTTCAGACGTTCTGAAAAAAAATTTTTTTGCAGGTGGGCCTTCAAAAACATGAGTGGTTCTCATGACAACCCCAGCAGACCTCTATATAACTACAGCATCTAGGCTCTCCAGCTCCCATCATGCCTGAGATAATCCTGCACAAACAGGCCACTTTTCGCGACGACCTTTTCCCTTCTGCGCATGCTGGTGGACCGCAGTGAGGTGCTGAGAAGCCAGCAAGACAAATATATGATGTGGACGAAATTGTCTTTGCAATGAAGTTTGTAGCTTCAAAAAAGAACTAATCTGCTTGAAGTTACAGCGATTTGAAAAAAAAATTTTGAAAGTGCCCGGGATCTTTCTTTACAACCTAATATTAGGTTGTCAAGAAAATAATGTCGTTTTTTATTTGCTTGCTTTAACAAAGCAACCAGACTGAACCCAACAAAGGATAATGGGCATTCTTCGATAGAGCAAAGCAAGCTCTACAAGACGGCATTCACGATTTTGCGCCAAGCACGATCCACGGAAAGTTCGAACTCAAAATCTAAAAATTTCCAAATGCTCAAAAAATCGAAATAAATCAGATTCTCAACCAAATAATTTCTACGGACCTCCCACTCACATACGTGAATGCAGTCGATATCAGACACCCATATGTGCTGTTGCTGCTTTTTCTCCTTGACTAGAAACTGAGAAAACGAGAATTTTCGCGTTTTTCTGAAAGCAATGCTGAGCCGTTCTTGCATATGTGATTCTATACTACAAGCCTAGGTAAGTATAACTGTAGATTTTCAGCCCATTTCGAGCAGTAGTTATCGAGAAATGTCGCTTTTAGCACTGAAAATGAAAAGAAAAAAGCTGATTTCGAAATTTCTCGAAAACCATTGCTCGGAATAGACTGGAGATCTACATTTATACTTATCTAGACGTATAGTATAGAATCACATATGCAAGAACGGCTCAGCATTGCTTTTAAAAATACACGAAAATTCTCGTTTTCTCAGTTTCTAGTCAAGGAGAAAAAGCAGCAACAGCACATATGGGTGTCTGATATCGACTGCATTCACGTATGTGAGTGGGAGGTCCGTAGAAATTATTTGGTTGAGAATCTGATTTATTTCGATTTTTTGAGCATTTGGAAATTTTTAGATTTTGAGTTCGAACTTTCCGTGGATTGTGCTTGGCGCAAAATCGTGAATGCCGTCTTGTAGAGCTTGCTTTGCTCTATCGAACAATGCCCATTATCCTTTGTTGGGTTCAGTCTGGTTGCTTTGTTAAAGCAAGCAAATAAAAAACGACATTATTTTCTTGACAACCTAATAGCTTGTTAGGTGTGCTTTTTGCGAAAAGCTAATGCGTTTGAACATTTTGCTGAACTATCACATATGCTTATATTAGGTTGAACACTAAGTTTTGCAGCTTTTCTCATAACTTCCCTCTCACTCAACATGGTGCACTCAAATTTTGCCACTGTGTTGGTTATTATGTATTCTACAAGCGTAGCTGCTGTCCTACCAAATTCTGACGTCGCAGTGAGGGTTACGGTAGGTGTATGGTATGAAGGGGAAAAATTCAAAGTTTGACGGATTTGGCTGAAACTTGGCATAGGGATGTTATCCGACATGCTGATCACGAAAGCGATAGTGAAATTGCTTGATAAGGGCTTTTTGTAAGATTACTGTAAGTGTACGATATGGGGTCTCACCCTAAACAAGGAAAAAGGCGTTGATTCAACAAATGAATATGATTTTCGCATTCGGCAGGTCAAATAACCTTACTATGTGAAGTCTCGGCGGAATTTGAGCTTCGAACTCTTTGGTCATTGACGGTCGTTCCCCAGCAGCTCTTGCGTACATCGACTCGTTCGACTTTATGAGGACGCCAAATCTCGACATGCCCATAAATTTTGTTTCTTTCTTGCTAGGCCAAAGGAATTAACCTCTTGCAATAATTTATAGACGAATCCGGATTACTGCGCATGGTCTAGGCTGCCAAAGGCTTCATTTTAGCTTGAAACCTCAAAAATTCTCAAATTTTACTAGTTTTCGAAAAATGCCTGAAACTTTTCTATTTCGTGTTCAAAATTCAGACAATTTATGCTCACTTGTAGCTCACATTGCATTCTACATGATGCCAAAGTTTGAGTGCGCCATGTTGAATGAGAGTGAAGTTATGAAACAAGTTGCAAAACTTAGTGTTCAACCTAATAATTGATTCAATACCAAAAACACTTTGAGGCAGTTTGCTTCCAGCTATTGTTCTGAATATCAAGCAACTTAGAGCGTTCTAGGGATACACATCAAAAACCTGCAAAAAATGCAAAACATTGACGATCTGAGGATCCGAATTTCTGGTCACTGTCTCAAGGCTCGGCACGAGGTGGCTAGATGAAAATGGAAAAAAAGAAGTCCCCTTTGACTTTTGGGAATTTTTACGAAGTCCCCTTTGACCCTCAACCAAATTTCCTCTAAAAACCTGAAAAATTCCCCAAAATCCCCCAAAAAACGAAACGTCGACTAAAAAAAAAGGTCGCCGTCGCCGATTTTCCGTGTCTCTTCGGTCACAAAAACGAAACCCCCTTTGCTTTTCGTCCCAATGCACTGTCTTGCTTGGCACCGCAAGCTTATAGCGAACTCGTGAGAAACCATTGCTTTTGAATATTATTGCTCATAACTTTTTTCATGAATTCACTACGCGGCTAAGAAACCCAACTTGGCATTAATGCCCCAAAACCAGCAGAATGATATGCATCATAGGAAATCCTAAATCGACTGAGGGTATTTCCTTTGTTGAACTTAAGATAATCCTTTACCGACGGAGAATGATTCCTTCGTCAGATTTACAGTATGGAGCAATCACTCATTCTCTTTAAATTACTTAAGAATATGGGAAAACTTTGTAAGGCGTTTTGATATTTTGCTTTAGAAGGGACATTCAATAGCTGAAAACTTCCCTTTCCACTCTGCGTCGTCTTCTCCTCACTATCACACCGCCGCTTGTCCTAACGTTCAGGAACTGTTCTGCGACTGGCGTTTATTGGAAACATCGTCGTAGTCATACAAAGGGCAGAAGCAATCTAGCCGTTGCGTTTTGATCTTGAATCTATATGTGAGGTAGAGTCATTTTTATTATAGAAGAGGATTCGCAATTTACTGTAAGACATTTTTTTATAAGTGCCAGATAAACCGCAATAACGTTTTTTTTTTCAATGTCTTTCAAACACTTAATCAAACAATTTGAAAGGCTCAGAAAAAAACTCGGAAAAGGTTGTTTGATAAAATGAACATGTCTGAAAACACTGCTACACAACAGTATAAATCCTGATAAAAGCATTTTTACCAATGCTTCAAATGATATCTGTATGCTAAAAGTTCTCGCCGTAAATCTAAGTGAAAGGAGATGAGTGATTATAATAAACTTAGGTTGAAGCCTGCTCTACTGAATGGTATTCAAAGCTAAGGAAGGAATTTCTGGAGAGAGAATTATAAACAATCAAAAAATGTATTCTTACTTTTGGAAAGATTTGATGCACGCTTAACATACATACACGCATATAACGAGACGTAAAAATGCATGAAGACGTATGGTCCCACGAAAAACAGACATAAAAATTAGGTTCTTTCAATATAGGCTGTTAGCAGCTTTAACTTTCCTTTTGATTGTTCATGCGTTAGTTCTCATTAGATTTTATATGCGACTTTGAATTCAACTAATGAGGTGTAGTACGGTGCTTACAAGAGGATAGAAACCAGCGAGAATTAATTGGCGATTTTCCCATCTTTATCCATGCTAAATCAGCGATAATGTTCTGCGAATTAGGAGCAGCTAAATTGAATTGGAATTGTAAGAAATGCAAACCTACTTTACCCAGAGCTTTACAATTGCTTACCACACTTCGGATTCCTCCGTGACACCTTCAAAGCTGGAACGGGTAGAAGATGCAGCACTTCAACGATGAACAAGGTGATCGCAGCCTACGACTACTCGGAATATTCGGTTGTGACCACTGACGCAATCGGATGGTACGGGTAAGCCTCAAATCATAAAAGTTATTATCTTCAAAGTGAATAAAGTCTAGGAGGGTTGTGTATTGCCGCTATATGGACGAAAATAATCAAGAAATTGGAGAAAGCGCACGCTCTATCGTATTTCCTGAATCGGTAGTGCATTGCTGCAGCCGGAATGGAACAGCATACATGACAGTCACAAAGGATGCAGATGGTGCAGTTGAGCAGCTTGTGCAGCTGATCGATAGAAAACATGATGGTATGTTCACATCTGAGTACACCGTCATGAAGTGTGTTTGCTTTATAGCGCCCAAGTACTACTTGTCGCTTTGTTTGGCTCCTATCTATGGAAGCCAAAGAAAATATCTTGTGCTTGTCGAGTTATTTGAGCATTTGAAACTGCAAGGTGTCGAACATTTCTACCTATATGTCAAAGAAATAGACAAATACTCTCAAACGGTAAGTAAATGCAAGTAATGCCTCTCAAATTAGAATACTTTTGCCTTTCAGCTCATCGACGACTACATTAGGGAGGAACAAGCCGAAGTTATAAGTTTGCCTACCGAACATGAGATCATTTTCTGCCCCCAATTAGTAGCTGCAGCGGTATGACCTATTTCTCTGTATGGAGCTTTACTGGAAGCGGGAACATACATAAACACTGAAGATTTATAACAAATCTCAAGAAGTTAGGGTATTCTAGGACTGCTTGCACAGAAGTCGTCACCACTCTCGTTATGTTTTGTTCTCTGATCTGGACGAAAGATTCTTCTCTCCCAAAGGCTACACTTTGGAATCTTTTGTTAGGTTTTTACTCTTCTTTTGCAATAAGTCACAAAACTATCTCAAATGCGTAGGAAATTGTACTCAGGGAAAAATTGCAAAGTGCACCAGGAAGAGGAGCCATGCGTTTTACATCAAGATGGGTTCTTCGAACACCTCCTCCTCAATCAGATTATGAGGTAAAAGAAGTTGATTAGAATAGGTCGATTAGGATTCTAAAGTGGATTTTGTTAGGGAGAGAAGACGCTTAAACAACACTTGCCTATGCTTGTTTTTCATAATAGTTCTGCAGTCCCTAATGTGAGAATTGTGCAGAAGTTAGTCCTAGATCCTAGGAAAGTAAATGAAAGCATATTCTAAGTAGATAAAAGAGAACATCGGTTTTCTGTTCTAGGTGCTGAACATTTACGTACACCATGTGGAAGCGTACTACCCTGGTTACGAGGGATATGAAGTTCCCTTCCAAGAAATGCACATTCGGTAAGGACAGACCAGTTGATTTCGGTCTGCGTTTTCTCCACTAATGTGTTGAATCATAACTGATGTGTGTTCCTCGCGTTAGCGTAGACTACATATAAAAGTGTAGGAAATATGCTGTTGGTAGAGCTCTACGAGATGGCATTCAAACGTTCGCAAAGAGTATGACCAACTGAAGTAGCATCTAGAAAAATTCAAAGTGCCCAAGAATTTCCATCTAGCCTTATTTGCCATTTTCCAACCTGCTCATTCGATGTCCCCATCAAACCATATGTATAGTCGATTCCCTCATCGAAAAATCACAATTCCAGCAATTTGATGAGCATCGGAAATCTTAGAAGAAACATGGCACGTTCCTCATGCTGTGCTGTTCCTGCACAGGTTCCGTGTATGTTACAAACCTTTATGGCAGTGGAATGGGTCGCGAAACTTTCGAAAGTTATTTAAATGTGCTATAAAGATGGCAAGCAACTTGTTTTTACTTGTAAATAATTGAAATAAGTTTTAAAATTTTCTAAAATTTCCAATTAGCCTTGTAAAAAAATTTTTTTCGGGGACGTTTCACCGCCACGCCCTTTTTCTAAAATTTTGGGGTCAGGGGGTCGCAAAAATTTTTTAAAGCCTTTCAAATACGTTTTCGGAGTGCGTGGCTAACGTCACGCACCTTCATCCGAGAACTTTTGTCCTCCTCCCTCCCCCCCCCCCCCGCGAGCGGAAATCCTGAGTACGCCACTGCTTTATGGGTATTACAAAATTTCTTTCTAACAATCACTAATTAAATAGAAATATTAACTTTGGAAACTTTAGTCGTATCGATATGAAGAACGCAGTTATTGAATACTTTGCTCAATAGGAAGTATTTATGATCAAAAGTCTGTAGTTTTCTTGAGTGAATCTTCAGTTTGGACACTCGTTTTTTGGTCCCAGGCTGCACTTCAAATTCTCTGCTGATTTAATGCCTTCTTGCAACTTGTTTTGAACTTTTCGATGGTATGCTTCACTTTTTTTCTTTTCCAAGAAAATGCATCGTTTATATTAGGTCGTGTAATAAGTTCCGTCCCATTTTTGTTTTAGTTTTTTCTTGACAACATTGACTATATTTGAGATAAAGTGTATATGCTTTTGAAAGGTCTGCAGGCTCGCATGCATCATTACCTAAAATAGCGGGAATTAAAAAAGATTTTTATCATTGAAGCAAAAAATCCAGAGAGCCGAAAAATCAATTTTCGACATCTTTTTTCCTTCAAATTTTTCTCGATTTTTATTGGTAAAACTTATAAAACAAGCTTGAGAACAACCAAAACAATCTATTAGACTTTTACACTTATTCTAGCACTGTTTGCCCATGTTCTCTTCCTTTCATCGGCTTTCTAATGGCATTTTTTTGAAAGTCGGCAAGGCAAGATTATGTCACGGCAATGTTCACCATCTCGCGTACCCAAGCTGTGTGGCTCCCAAAATTCAAATTTTGTGTATTTAACCTACGAATTCGATAATTTTGAAGCCACAAAACCGTCCCTTCTGTCTTTTCTGGACGACCCGCCTACTGTCCTCCCTCAGGATGCTTCAGATGATGCCGAAGGTCAATGTTGAAAACGCGTTGAAAAGAAGACTTTTCTAAAGCCCACAGAAATGATTTTTGAAAAGTTTCAGCACTCCTAAAGCGCAATAGAAGCTAAAGCTTACGTGTAGCAAGTTTTTCCAGCTTATTCGTGAGCATTCTGACTAATTAGGAAGGCGGCGTAACGTAGTTGTCGAAAATGCACTTTTTCCCTGTTTGATTTTCCAAATTTGACACTGTAAAACTTTTTCAAATCATCTGATGTAGAGAACCGAAATGAAAGTTTTAGTAGAGAAGGCTTAGAGTCTCAAATGCATATGAACAATTTACAGAACATCGCTCAAATTATTAAGAAAAAATCGAAAGAAAAAAATGGGACAGAACTTATTACACAACCTGAAAAATCAACTGAATATGTCAACTTTTACAGACACTACCGCGACACTTCTACATGGGATAAACAATGGTTTGATCGGTTAGCTGGATTCGGCCCATATGAGATCACGTCGTATCCAGAAGTACATATGAAGAAGTTGTTTGAGAATATAAAAAATAAGCTAGATAGAATTTATGGTCATAAAACTATGTTCTCACACTAGTGCGATGACGCAATCAATTTGTTTCTTACATTTTTAACGTAGCAAATGGTTTATATCCTGTTGAAAGCGAAAGTTTCAAGCTCACTAGCTGCATAAAAACTAAGAGGAGGAAACAGAAGGCATTCAAGATCACATCATGATAGAAAAGCCAGAGAAAATGCGTAGTATTGTTAGCCTTGAGCAGATTATTCCAATGTTTTCAACTAAGCAGTGACAAATGGTACAATTTCTAGAGTACTATTCATCTTTAGGCATGCAATGAGGTAGCCTCCTTGCACCGTACGACTAAAATGTAGTTTTCCTTCATCTATTCGCGTCTCCAAAGTCCTAATAAATAGCTCTTTGACAGAGCCAACTTTTTTGTACAGTCTCCGTGCCAAGAACCAGGAAGGTGTATTTGAGCGTTTTTTGGCGAAAGCAGTGTTCCCCCTTTGAAAATGCTGCTAATCTCTCAGCCGATATGACAACAAGAGTTTCGAAAGCTTGACAATGCTACTAGAGTGCAAGAAGTTTTTCAGACGAGCATATTCTCGCTAAATAATGTGCTTACTAGGCACATTCGGACTCGCTAATGAGCTCTTATGGGTACCAAGATCGCAAGCTCCGCTCCCTCATCCAGTGTCGCTTCAGATGCTGAAACCGGTTCAAAAAATTTCCGAAGTTCGGCAGCTAATTTGCTCGAAGCCCAAACATTGGATTTGGGGTTTTCGAGGCCGCGATAATGATAATGAACTTCATAATCTTGGCTAAATTATATTTGTAACTGGATTTCGGAAAAAACCAGTACGGAATTACATACTATTTCTGCACTTGGCATTTCATTTCTAAAGAGACAATTCGGTTCCGTGAGAAAACATATCTTGCCTCTAAAAAAATGTTCAAAATTCAAATCGCTACAGATATTGCACAAAACATAAGTTGTTACCGAAAAAGAAATTTCAAAAACCCGTAAACCTGAACTTTTTGAAAAAGGAAATTTCGGCTTCTAGATACGAATTTTGATGTTAGGCATTATCAGTGCTGAACCTCAACTTGCAACAAACAAATCTCATTACTGGAAACAACAAACTCGAAAACCCTAAGTCTGAGATCTGGTCTTGCTTCAAGCAATTTTGCCATTAGACTTCAAACGTTAGATCATAGGTGTGTTAGAGAGAGCATTGTCCTTCCAAGTGAAGGAGGTCTCGGTTATTTCAGACCTAGAAACGTAAAGAAGTAATTGAGCCTTAAAATGAGTGCTGGCGTAAGCTTTGTCGAGTGGGAATGGAGAGTGCAAAGACAACAAATAAGCGATACAGTATTGTAATATAAACTTTATTGATCTTTGACTTCAAAAGTCCACAAAACAGAGACTTTTTAGATCCATTATAGCGTTATGTCTCAGTCAGCATACCACTCGAAAGCTTAGAACATGTGTAATCGATGTATATGGTCTCTTTCTTTCGTCCCTCTTGTGCATTCACATATGAAAATCTTTATCTAGCTGCAGAATCATCTGATATTATGCGATCTTTGCGCTTCATATCTGGAAGGAAGAGGAGAGCTAGACTACTGGCAAAGTCTTGCTCTGTAAAAGACTCACTTGTTCTTTGCGTAGACCTCACAAAAGCACGCATGTTTTCAGATTAAATGCCATGTATGTCTAAGCAGAGAAGTGCTAGGAAAAAAGAGACGGTCTATATCGAGCTTTCGCTTCGTAAGCTTGCTAAAGGTAGACAGATTGTTAGATGAAAAAGCTTGTGGCTCTTCAAAAATAGAGACTATTATCAGCCTGCTCCACGCCCGAATGGCTTAGCATTCGTGGGTTGGAGGAGCAAGACTTTCTTTTGAGCGGAAAACTTTATGCATCAACAGTTCACATTTCATTCCATACCATGTCGAATCGAATCGACGTAGGCCGTCCCCTTTTTTCTAGCTCTTTTGCAAAGAAAGATATGAGGAATTTTATTTAGCTACACTATCAGCTAATTTTGTGAATTATTTTATACTTTTTTTGAAACGAAAAAGTATTTTCTTAGGTTTTTGCATGTGAGTGAAAAGCTCCAGAACTGGGAAAACTATCGCTTCCTATTTTCTCTCATGCTTTTCAATGAAAGGAAATATGATTCGATTCTTCTCAGTAAACATGCATCCATCATTGAGCAGACCAAACTTCCTACTCTTGCATAATTCTTCCCTGCTACAATATATTCACTGAACAATGTTGCTCGTTCAAAGAATCAGACATCTCCTAAATTTCTAGGTTAATTTCGCTAATAAAATCGAAGCACTTTGAGTAAGATAAAAAGTCGCAAGCCTGCGTTTTTTTTCGGCTAATGCTGTAAAAGTGCATTCATGTCAGCACTGACTGAGAAGAAGCAGCAGCTAGCCTTCACAAACAAAATGTGCACTATTTGTCATAAGTGTTCTGTTCTGCCCCAACGCCTTGACGAGGTCCAGATGCCAGCCTAAGAAAGAAGAGGGGCAGAGAAATTGCCCCATCAATAGCACCTAGGCGGGGCTTGTAATATCTTGGTGCCAGGAGAAGCTCGTAATCGTCACTAAGGTGCGAGAATATGGATGCGTGTAAAACTTTAGCCCCTGCTAACTAGATTTTTTTATCTTGGCTTCTTTTTTCAAACTAGCGACAAAAGTTGTTTTTGTGGTTTTGTTGAATAAAACTTCCATAGTTTTTGCCTTGATTACTATCTTGATACATGACGTAATTTCAGTGTGCTTTCATTTAAGGTTAGGTGCAGTGGCGATATTGTGACATGAAATGAGCCATTGTTGTAATGGCAAGATAAGTATTAGGTAATTACATAAGTCTTATTATACTTTAACTTCTTACGGCGATAAGTCATACATCTCACAGTCTTTGCAGGGCTACAAGGTAACATTCGATAGAGCAAAGCAAGCTCTACAAGAAAATCTGCAAAAGTTCGCACCAGCTCCAACCCACCGTAAGTTTGCGTCAAATCTGAGTGGTATTGAAGGCTCAAAAATTGCGAAAAAATCATATCTTTGTTCAGAAAAATCCTACGAATCTCCAACTTGCTTACAAAAATTGCCCACTATATCAATTACTCATATGTATGGTTGCTGTATTCTTTCCTTCTCTAGAAATGCAAAAAAGGAAATTTTTTTAGTTTCTACAAAAACGAAGCTGTGCTGTTTCTATTTCTAACCGTATACTACAAGCCCTTAGAAGTATAACCGTTTTTCAGCTCTCCAGAAACCCTAGTTTTCGAAAATTACCTAATTTAGTACTGAACACCCGAGTGAGAGAAACAAAATTTGGTATTTTTCGAAAACTAGGGTTTCTGGAGAGTTGAAAATTTACGATTATACCTCTAAAGGTTTGTAGTATACGGCTACAGGAATAGAAACAGCATAGCTTTGTTTTTGTAAAAACTGAAGAAATTTTTTTTCTGCATTTTTAGATAAGGAAAAAATACAGCAACCGCACGTATGAGTATTTGATATAGTGGGCATTTTTTGTGAGCAAGTTGGAGATTCGTAGGATTTTTCTGAACAAAGATATGAATTTTTCGCAATTTTTGAGCCTTCAGTACTACTCAGATTTTGGATGCAAACTTACGGTGAGTTGGAGCTGGTGCGAACTTTTGCAGATTCTTGTAGAGCTTGCTTTGCTTCATCAAATCTTACTTTGGAGCCCCGTAAAGAATGTGAGGTGTATGACTTATCGCCGTTAGAAGTTAATTGTAACAAGACTTATATAACAACCTAGTAGTATTGAGTTGTTTCAAAAGTTCTACCCGTTTTCGATACCTTTTTTGAACTGCCGATTTTGGAGGAAGAAATCATTTTTCGTAAACAATGCTAACATCTTTCAAGAGACTCCAAGCTTGATTATTGATAAATCTTGGCATGATGTAGATATTTGTATATGTTTACTTGAGCCGATCATCAAGATTATAGCCGCTTTATTCAATCAGGCTAACGTTTCGGTGCCTTCACCTTCGTCGTAGCCTGGAAGGTCGTCACATTAGTGGTTTGTTCTCCCGAACACCTCGTTCAAGCCAAGGTTACATTCAACATCAAGCCAGGCTGAAAGCCGCGACGGAAACCGTCGTTCATGCTCACCTCGGCTGTTTTCGAATCAGGGTAGAGCCACCACTCAACACAGCGTCTGCACAGTCAGTAGTAGTAGAGACTAGTACAAGTGCCTTATATAGATGAATCTAATCTTAATGTAGATCAAATCCGCAAAGGGACTGATATGCGATTAGATCACTATTCATGGCAACGCCCTCTTCTTTGCGGTTCATTGCAGGAGCAATGAACAAAACACAACCGAACACTCCCCTAGGCGCACATCGCAGAGAGTATCACTCGGATCAACAATTTAATATAGCCGTTACAATCTTAACGCGTGAACCCGAAATAATTCCTCGTAAAACGCTAGAAGCATTTTGGATAACATCCAAAGCTCCTACAATGAACCGCAAGAAGAGGGCGTTGCCATGAATAGTGATCTAATCGCATATCAGTCCCTTTGCGGATTTGATCTACACTAAGATTAGATTCATCTATATAAGGCACTTGTACTAGTCTCTACTACTACTGACTGTGCAGACGCTGTGTTGAGTGGTGGCTCTACCCTGATTCGAAAACAGCCGAGGTGAGCATGAACGACGGTTTCCGTCGCGGCCAGCCTGGCTTGATGCTGAATGTAACCTTGGCTTGAACGAGGTGTTCGGGAGAACAAACCACTAATGTGACGACCTTCCAGGCTCCGACGAAGGTGAAGGCACCGAAAAGTTAACCTGATTGAATAAAGCGTGCTATAATCTTGGTGATCGGCTCAAGTAAACATATACAAATGCTTACATCATTCAAAAGCTCTTTTCTTCTAGTTTTTCAGGCATATTTTCGTTTTCATAGATCTTTGTTCGCTGTGTAGTTGCGTACTTTGAAAAGACTGCTGCGAAAGAAATGTGAACATTTTCGTCTATGCTCTATCGCCGTGAAATCTGCAGCCAAAAGAAAAAATTTCT